GGAGATTAGGTTTAGCCATAGCGAGAGGCTTGAGCAGGAGGGAATTGGCCAAAAACAGAAAGGAGTTCACTATAGAATGTTGGAAACATTTAGGCAAGAGAAGAGAGGTGCACCACCAAACATGAAGCAAGATATCTTACGCTCTATAGAAAAGGAGACCACGCTGCTCCATACTTGTTATAACACGCCCGATACGCCGTCAAGGTTACCAACACTGCCCTCGCAAACGCTCCAATCGCGATAGCCCCTGCATTACTGCTATCCTTTACGGGGGCTCGACGCTTTGTGACGTCAACTCGACCATCCGCATCCGCACAACGTCACCGTGTTGTGTGATGCTGCATTCTAGAAAGAGATGCCAGTCAAACGCGCCCTTCCAGCTTCCGCCTACTCGCAAATGTCCAATTTGCGCCTACCTGGCAGCAAGTTCCATCGACTAGCCGCCAAAAAAACGAAATACTTAGCGCCGCGGGTGACGGAAGATTAGCGTTTGGGGAAGACTTTCGCAAAAGAAGGAACGACGATGAGACAAATGCGACATCCGTTCACGCAGGGAAAGAAAATGCTTGGAGAAGTGGGGTATCCATCCCCATGCCTCTCGCATGCTAAGCGCTCTACCATCTGAGCTACATCCCCGATACTACAATATAGTCGTTTGCAATCCTGACTATAAAACAAAATGGTCTTCCTCAAAGTCTCTCATAAAAAATATCTACAAGAAGCAGCTGCTTTTGGAGACTGCCAACCTGCACAGGCAAGAGAGAAAGAGTAGCACTTGCATTTTGGACTACAAATCTGTAATGTACATGCACATAGCTCCGACTCCCAGCTCACACTACAGCATACCTTGGCGAGCATGGAGGTCACATCTCCCAACACAGCAGGACTAGGAGGTGCGCCCCTGCGTCTTCACGCCTGCGACCGGAGAGCCTCAAGAGCACTAATCAGCTCGTCTTGAAAAAGACGAAGGACAGGGACATGGGAGAGGGGGGATTTGAGTGGCCTTGATACGCAATGTCTGTAAGGAGGAGGATGAGGGGGCTCCAGGGCCTTTGATGCTGCAGGGTGTTATTGAGAATTCTCAAAAACGCCTCCAAGGAGGAAGATGAGGGCGCTCCAGGACCTTCCTCGGTTCGTCCTGCAAGTCTGCAAGAGACATGAGAGAGAGGAGGAATTGCCGAAGCCTCCTATTACTGTCAGAATGTTATAATTGTCTAGCCTGCAGTGGGGTACTCTATAGCGAGTACAACCCAATTAGGGTTTCCTATATGTATGCCAACTGCTGCTAGTGCAACTCTCTCTTTTTCATTCCTCATTTTTCACATGCTATCAGAGCATCTACGCTCCTGGCCCGTGGGCCCACCCAACTGCTTCCGCTGCTACTCTGTGCTCCGTGGCGTGCCCCTCGCGCGACCCTTAGCGACCCCGTCGCCACCCCTTGCGGCCCCGTCGCTGCCCTTCTCGGCCCCTCGCAGCCCCTTCGCGGCCCCGTCGCCGCCCCTTCGCGGCCCCGTCGCCGCCCCTACCGGCTCGTCGCCGCCCTTCCAGGCCCCTCGCGGCCCCTTCGCGGCCCCGTCGCCGCCCCTATCGGCCCCGTCGCCGCCTCCAGCGGCCCCGTCGCCGCCTCCAGCGGCCCCGTCGCCGCCCCTTGCGGCCCCGTCGCCGCCCCTAACGGCCTCGTCGCCGACCTTTCAGGCCCCGTCGCCGCCTCCAGCGGCCCCGTCGCCGCCCCTTGCGGCCCCGTCGCCGCCCCTTTCGGCCCTGCCTCGACCCTGCCCCGGCCCCGCCCCGGCCATGCTCCGTCGCCTGTCGCGGCGCACCGGGGGCACGTGCACCGCCCACCCCTCTTTTCCCGTCGCCTGTCGCGGCTCCCTGGGGGGCCGCGACCTGTGGGGGGGGGGCGAGCGTCGCCCCTTCTGCCGCCCTGCTTTGGCGCCCTGGGAGGCCGCGCGTCGGCCCCCCTTTCCCCCCCCCCCCTCCGTAACCTCCCTACCCGCCATCCCGCCCTGCCCTGTGTTAGGGTTTGGGGGTGGCGGGTGTGTGGTCTCCCCTGCTCCTCCTCCTCCTCTGTCTCCCACTACTGCAGCTGCCGTTGAGGGGGGTGGGTGTGTGGGAGTCGACGGAGTGGTGCTAGGGGGTGGGGTGTGAGTGAACCTAGGGTGCAGCAGGGGGTGTGTGAAAGGGGGGTGCTGTGGGAGTAGAACTAGGGTTTGAGCAGGGGGTGTGTGTCGAGAGGTGTGGGGCAGTTGGAGGAGGTTGTGTGAAGGTAGCTGTCGTGTCGCCTGCAGCGCCTGTAGTCCGCCGCCCTTGCTTCGGTAGCCAGTGAGCTTGTTTGTTTTGTTTTTGTTTTTTGTTTTTTTTTTTTTGTTTTTTTTTTCTTTTTTTTTTTGTTTTTTTGTTTTGTTTTGTTTTGTTTTTTTTTTTGTCTCGTCAACCTGCAGCCCCTGCGCGCGCCCTGTCGGCTGCCCCGCGGACGCCCCGTCGGCTGCCCCGCGGACGCCCCGTCGGCTGCCCCGCGGACGCCCCGTCAGAAGCCCCGTGAACGCTCTGCCCGTCACCCCGCGCACGCCCTGTCGGCAGCTCCGCGGGCGCCCCCATACCAGCCCCGCGCGCGCCTTTCTTGTCGCTAGTGCCACGGCCAGCAGCGAGCGCAAGTGCAAGCGCCATCGCCAGCGCCAGCACCGGCGCCAGCGCCAGCGCCAGCGCCAACGCTAATGACGGTGCGAGCGCCAGCAGCAGCCAACCCCCCCCCCCCCCCCCCCCCCCCCCCGCCCTCCCTTCCGCGGCTTCCGTCGTGGGAAGGGGGAGGGGGAGAAGTGGGGGTGGCGGGTGTGAGCAGCCGGCAGCCCGTCCCTCCCCTCCCTCTTCCTCTCTCCCTACAGCACTTGTTGCTGTGGGGGGGAAGGGAAGAGGTTAAGGGGGGAGGAGAGGGAGGTTGAGGGGGTAGAGAGAAGGAGAGAGAGAGAGAGAGAGAGAGAGAGAGAGAGAGAGAGAGAGAGAGAGAGAGAGAGAGAGAGAGAGATTAGGCCCCTCGTTTCCGTCGTCTCTAGGCGTGTTCGCCCCTCGTCGCTCTCACCGGGCATCCATTGTGGGGGTTAAAACGTAGGCGGGTATCCTACCGAAGGGCCCAGCTGCTGCACGGTGATTGATGCGCTCCCTACACCAACTAGTCTGCATGCAATCAAAGGGGGGATGTTAGAATATGGTGTATTATTACATAATTGCATGTTTTAGCTAGTGGTGTAGGGTCTTGGTGGTATACCCCATTTGTCCACCTTTCCTATATCTTGTAGCTCTCTCAAATTGCAAACCCCTTCTTTGTTCCCAACTCCATGTCTTCCTAAAACCCAAGTTTCTTTTAAGCCTAGTATCTTGACAGCATATGGTATGGTAATTTTATTAACTGTTGATCTGAGAGGGACACCTCTGAGTGTACCCTTTTTGGATGGAGAGGTTCTGCTCTAGTGTAATGAATATAGCAACTCATTACTGGGTCTGCTTCTAAGGTGTACAGCCTCGGGCACTTCGCGCCAGTTTTCGGTTCGGCCTACACTTCGGCCCGAACCACTGCCGAATCGCTCCGCACTAATCGCGACAAATCCAACCCATGCACATCCCGAGGTCCGCGCCTAGCACGTATTCGCCCTATAAATGCTTGCTTTATTCTGTAATTCATCCTTTTTATAAAGTCTTCTGCGCACTCTGTTTAGTACAACTAATAACATCTAGCGTGTCAAAGAACTCCAAATCGCACCCGGGCTCAGATGTACCGTCACCAGCGTTCTGTCACGGAACGGAACGTCTGTGTTTCTGGGAGGACGAATGTAAGGAAAATCTCTTTTTCCTTACTTCGCGTCCCTGCTCAACGCATACATCACTGTAGCACCACAGTCAGCACCGTTACCACTCGCAATCCTCGCATCGACAATCCGCCCGCCACCTTCGTACGTCGCACCCCGACCTCACGGCTCGGCGGGTAACCCGCGCTCCGGGCCTCCGCTTCGACAATTTTCCCAACCTCAGTCCCAGGCCCGTCGCGCGACAACCACAGTCCATTACCGTTACCACTGTAGTTTCGCTATATATTCTTCGCTCATGCCTTCTCTCATTGTACTCTTGCTTCGATAGTGCAATTCTAGTTCGTTCACTCAATTGCACTCGTAACAACGAACGATGCTTCACAAATCATTACAGTATGACCCAGCTTGCAAGATACAAACCGAGGCGCAACTGCCCACGTTTGCCTCCTGACGCTGAACGGTCAGGATGAACCTGAATTGAATAATTGATTCAGCATCCTGAGCGGAATAGTGTGTCTAAAAATGGTGGGTAGCGGTTTGAGATGGTGAATGTATATCACTCATCCAGACTACACAGCATCGTACTCAACCGAACGAACTTGAAGAACCTCGATTGTCTGACACCCCCTCGAGATTGCCACACTGACGTTCCTGCGGGGAGGTCCTGCTTGGGTTTGCCGTAGTGAAGATTGGGCTACTCCGTAGAAAGCTTCAGTTTCTCGTGCTCTGTCATTCCTAATAGCGGAACCACGCGATTTTACTGACTGAGACCTTTTTAGGAGATGGAGCCCAGCTTATTCAAATATCGCTGCATCAGTCTAGGTTTCCTCCTCTCGGCCGCTGCGCTACCACTAGCGCATGCAGAGTCCAATGCATGGCCGTATATTCTCACATTCAAAATAGTCAAGACGTTTCCGCATGACACGTCAGCCTTCACGGAGGTCCGTATTCGTGTGCCGTTCGCGTCCATGCGCCGTTCGAATCCATGTGACACGTCACCCGTCTTTCTCGTCCTACCGCTGAATTTCCACCTCGTCTTTAACAACTCCTCGTCTTCATTTCCTCTGCCGGCTTATTGTCTGCGTTTGTTATCATTCTCTGCGACTCCCCTTCCCCGCTGAACAGGGTCTGGTGTACGTGAGTCATAATGCGAGCGGAGGAAGAAGCAGCGGGGAAGGAATCTTCTACGAATCTACTGGGATGCGTGGACAGGTAATCCCGCTTAGAATGGACGCAGTACCAGCGTAACATGAAGCCTCCTGATTCATTATAGCTGTATGATCATTTCTACACACGGACGTCAAGTTGGTCGTCTGTGATTTGAGACGTTTCAGAATGGGTATACCCTATTTCCTGTTCCCTGTTCAGTGGATACAGCCACTGGAATGTTCTCCAGCTAAGCATCCTTCTATTCCTGCCTCTCTCTCGTCCCCACCCTGTTTTCTTCACTCTGTCTCCCCCTCCTTGTGTGCAGTCCAGTGTGAGAGAAGTGGACGTCGCCACAGGGAAGGTATGCTAGTACGACAAAAGAAACCTGATGTATATTTTAGCTTTTGAGAATTCTAAAAAAAAACCTAATGTGTACCATCTTATGCCCATCCAGCGTGTACAGCTGTGTATGAGAAGCTGCTGCCAGTATCCATCTCATCATGACTACTACACATACGAGATGCTTAGAGAAGAATATGTTACGTTTGTATGCTTGCTGCCCCTCACCCACGACTCTTAGACAGGCGTACAAAACCCAACCAGCCACCCACCCATGCACCCACCCATCACCCACCACACACCACGCAGGTTCTCAAGAAGGTGCCTCAGAGCGCTCCGGTGTTCAGTGAAGGGCTTGCACTCATCAACGACAGGTCGGGTGTGAGACGTCCCAACAGCCTCTTACCCTATCCACTTACCCACCCACCCACCATCCACCACCCATCACACTGTCGTTGGAAACAGTTGAAGCTGTATAGTTGCTTGGTGTAGATGGTGACCCACCGTGTGTGTCTAAACAGCTTTTGAGGCGCCTCAATTGAAGCTGTATTATTGCTTGGTGTAGATGGTGACCCACCTAGTGTGTCGAAACAGCTGCTGCTGCCTCGGTCTTTAGCCCGTCCTGTCTCTGACGCCCTCTGTCTTTTGCCTGTGTCTGTTGCTGGATTTCTGTCCCCTCAGGCTGTTTCAGTTAGCGTGGCAGGTGAAAACGGGAACGATATACAACCGCAAAAGTTTGCGAAAGATAGGTGAGAGATAAAAAAATTTCAGGGGCAGGCTAGTTGTGAACGAATCAGTCCCTCCCACCTTATCGGTCTCAACTCAGTGTTTCCGACCCGGTTCAACCATCCTCCCCCCCCCCCCGCATCCGTTCATTTCTCATACCCACAAGGAGGTGTGTCACAGACCCCCGCTCACACACCTCCTTCACCCACCACTCTCATGCGGCTCCTTCCAGGCAGCTTCCGCCACCAGATGACGGACGGTTGGGGCCTGTCAACGTACAATAAGTCGCTGCTGGTGGGCTCCGATGGCACCTCCTACATCTACTTCATCAGCGCAACCACCTTCAAGAGTGAGTTTGCAGCAGCACACATAATCGTGCTTTAACACACCTGCAGCGCACTGCCAGTCGCTGCTGGTGGGCTCCAATGGCACTTCCTACATCTACTTCATCAGCGCAACCACATTCAAAAGTGCGTCCATAGGCCTTCTAGAGTAGGTAGGTAGTGGGTTGGGCACCACAAGGGGCTGTTTGAAAGAAGCACCAGACGAGTGACGGGTGGGGCCTATCGACTTACAATTAATCGCTGCTGGTTGGCTCTGATGGCACTTCCTACATCAGCGCTACTACCTTGAAGGCCGAGTTAGTAGCATCACAATCATGTGCATATTCACGCTTCGACGCATCTCAAGCATACAGCCATTCGTTGCTGGTTGGCTCCGATGGCGCATGCATCATACATCTACTTATGGTCAGTGCAACCAGCTTTGAAAATACGTTAATTGCATCACGCTTGTGTGCTAAGTAGCGGTCATTCTTTGTACCCCTTCGAGCGTGTAATTAACTTTTGAGTCGACTCAAAAGTCAACTAAGTAGCGGTCATTCTTTGAACCCCTTCGAGCGTGTAATTAACCGATGCTGGTTGGTCCTGGTTGCGCCTCCTATATCGACTTCATCAGTGCAACTACCTTCAAAAGTGTGTCCATAGACGAGAGTAGGCAGTGGAATTGCAAGCAGCTTGAAGAGTATGCCATGTCACAGCATGGGCTTCCCTTTGTGAGATACATAACATCAACCATTCTCTGCTGCAATGGCGCCTCCTGTATTTACTTTCTCATCGGAAACAACTTGGAGAGCTGGTTCACCACATACAGCAACCATTCTCGACCCCCCTCAACCCCCCACCCATCTCAGCGCTGCACAAGGTGAAGGTGACTGATGGCGGCACACCTATAGCGTGGATCAATGAGCTTGAAGTGCGGGGCGGGCGTATCTATGCCAACGTGTGGCAGGTGCGAGGGGGGAGGGGGAGGAGAGTGGGAGCATGGAGGGTCATGGATGCATGGGGTTGGATGGGAGTGCTGTAAGGGTGAACGCCCATAGCGTGGATCAACGAGCTTGAAGTGCGGGGTGGCCGTATCTATGCCAACGTGTGGCAGGTGCAGGGGAGGGGGGTGAGAGTGGGAGACGGAGGTGAGAGAATATGGATGCATGGGGTTGAATGGGAGTGCTGCAAGTGTGAACTCAACGAGCTGCAAGTGCAGGGCGGACGTTTTTTCCGAGGCAAATCAAAGTAAACAAAGTCCTTCCTTCCCTTCCCCATCCCTTCTGGTCCGTCCCTTTACCCTCAGACGGATTGCATCGCGGTGATCGACCCGCTGTCAGGGCGAGTGGCGGCCTGGATGGACCTGCAGCGCCTGCGGTGAGTGCTGTGCCGGTTGGTGTGTGCAGTGAGCATGTGCGTCATTTGAACTGGGCATGCAGGTCGAGTGTCAAGTGAATGGTGTCAGGGCCAGTGGCGGCCTGGATGGACCTGCAGCGCCTGCGGTGAGTGCTGTGCTGGTTGGTGTGTGCAGTGAGCATGTGCGTCATTTGAACTGGGCATGCAGGTCGAGTGTCAAGTGAATGGTGTCAGGGCCAGTGGCGGCCTGGATGGACCTGCAGCGCCTGCGGTGAGTGCTGTGCTGGTTGGTGTGTGCAGTAAGCATGTGCGTCATTTGAACTGGGCATGCAGGTCTAGTGTCAAGTGAATGGTGTCAGGGCCAGTGGCGGCCTGGATGGACCTGCAGCGCCTGCGGTTAGTGCTGTGCTGGTTGGTGTGTGCAGTGAGCATGTGCGTCATTTGAACTGGGCATGCAGGTCGAGTGTCAAGTGAATGGTGTCAGGGCCAGTGGCGGCCTGGATGGACCTGCAGCGCCTGTGGTGAGTGCTGTGCTGGTTGGTGCATGCTGTGCTGTGAGCGGATGCAATCCGTCTGGTCTGTTCTCTCTGTAACCGACCCGTTTCTTTCTTCTCCCTCTCACGAACCCTCTCCCTCTCACCTATCTCTCTCATTCTCTGTCTTGTCGTGCCTCAGGGCGCTAGCAGCAGCCCAAGTGAAGCCCAACCAGGAGTTTGATGTGCTGAACGGCATTGCATGGGATGCACTACAGAGGCGCCTCTTTGGTACGGGCATTTCATGGTTTGATTACACCATGCAACGACTCTTTGGTTCCACCCCTCATGGCCCTATGCGGTGAATTTTGAGTCGACGCAAAAGTCACCTCACAACAGAGGCGCCTCTTTGGTACGGGCATTGCATGATTTGCTTGCTTGGGTTTGGCTCCACCCCTCATGGCCCTATGCCCCCATGCTTCCCAGTTTCCCCTGAATTCTCAGTCAATCTTTACCACGCCCTGTCTTCCCAGATGCTGGTGATCAGGCTTTTCTCTCTCTCTCTCTCTCTCTTTGAGCATGATTATCAGCACATCTCACCTTATTACCATCATCCCGCTTGTCCATCCCAAGCCTTCCTTTGAGGCACCTCCGAAAGTCATCTTGCTCCACGTTTCCATTATCCACCTGTCCATAAGTATCTCACCCTATCATGAGTATCTCCTGTCCATCCTATGTCGTAACCCTCACCATTTCCTCATTATTCTCTGTGGCATTCCTTTGCAGTCACGGGGAAATACTGGCCTCGGGTGTTCCAGATCGCTCCCAAGACCCTCACAAGATCAACTGCTGATGATGTGGCAGCCATTCGGCTGAGGTGCCACCCACAGGTGTACAGGAGATGAGACGAGACGAGCCATCCGAACGTGCCACCCATCGGTGTGTGGGGGACGATATGCGAGGCAAATAAGCATCTGTTCAATGCAATTGGGAATGATATTTCCCAACCATGTGTTCTTGCTATATACATTCTGTGGAATGTAGATGTTACCCTATCTCTGTCTAAGTTCATGGACGAAACGAAGGGTGGGTGTTCCACGTGCATATGCGATATTCACACACAGTTGATGTTTAAATGCGGCAGTTGTGAACATGCTACCGGTAATTTCCTTTTGGATACGGATGGATATGATAGAAGCACCATCCACCTTTAGCTGCTGGTCCTGTACTCAGGGATAGGTAACATATCCATTTTAAAAGTGGTAATTCCATAAGGTACAAAATATCTTAGTCGTATCATGAGTCAAGTGCAGAGGCATGTATATAGATTATAGAACGAACCTTTTGAATTCGTTGTACGGAAAAGTACAACGAATCCTAGCCATGACACGTCACGCCAGTTCGAATGCGAGGATGAGGAGCGGAATACTTGCCGCTCCCTTGAGAATACCGTAGACCGTAACTTTCAATTTTTTCGCAGACTTCTTCTCAACCAGGTTTCCGTCTAGTAGACGGAACAACATTCCTTGCATAAGAACCTTCAGTATTATTCAGTCAGAGCTCTCGTCCTTGCATACGGACTTTCCGTACATTTTCCTCCATTCTGTCAACGCGTTTCGCGTGCATGAGCTCCCGCTTTCATTAACTGATCCAACGGCCCGATGGGCTCGCTATTATCGAGGCTGCTCGCCAGCCGTCCGATGGCCGACCCCACGATGGTGGTGAAGGATCTCGTTCTGATCGGCGGAGGTCACAGGTGCGCTTTCCTCGAAGCTTCTTGGCGTGGTCCCATATTAATCTTCATTCTGCAAGAGCACGCTAGTAGAGTCCTTTTCCCACCCACTCCTTTATGTCACGCAAGCTCCTTTTGATCCCAGAGCACCCCAGAGCATTTCAGAGCACCCCAGAACACCCCAGAGCAACCCAGAGCAGGGCTTTCCTGGCTCTCCCTCCCGCTCTCCCTCCCGCTCTCCCTCCCGCTCTCCCTCTCGCTCGCCCTCCCGCTCTCCCTCCCGCTCTCCCTCCCGCTCTCCCTCCCGCTCTCCCTCCCCGCTCTCCCTCCCGCTCTCCCTCCCGCTCTCCCTCCCGCTCTCCCTCCCGCTCTCCCTCCCGCTCTTTCTTCTAATTGGTGTGAGATTTCCTTCGATCCTCCTTCCTTCGATTTCCTTCCTGGCTCTTCCCCGCTCATCCTCCCCGTCCCTCCTTCCGTCACTCCTTCCTTCCCCCCTTTTCCAACACCCCCCCCCCCCTCAAACCCCCCTCCCTCTCCCCCCCCCTCCCCTGAAACCATGCCTGCTGCATGCTGGGTATGTTTTTTGAGAATTCTCAAAAAACATACCTCACACCCCCCCCCTCTCTCCCCCCCCTCCCCTGAAACCATGCCTGCTGCATGCTGGCAGCCACGTGGTGGTGCTCAAGAGCTTCGCCATGAAGCCGATGCCAGGTGTCAGGCTCACATTGGTCACTCGGGACGTGCACACGCCTTACAGCGGCATGCTGCCAGGCCTCGTGGCCGGTAAGAGCATTCACCTCACTTCCTTCCTGACATACACTGAGACGTGCACTCGAATCTGCAGTAGAGGCATCCCGAATCCCAATTGCCCCCTCCCATCCCATCCACTACTCTTGACATGCACTTAGACGTGCACTGCGACGCGCACTGAGACGTGCACTGCGACGTGCACCGCGACGTGCACTGCACTGACCCACCCAGGTCATATCGGCCTGCACTTGACATACTCTCGGCCCAACTCACCAACGCTTGCCTGCTCCACTGCTGCTCCTCGGACCTGAACCTGGGAGGATCACTGCTCTCTCTTCTCTTCCCCCACAGCCTTTCCCATTTCCCTGTCCCTCTCCCGCCTTCCCCCGTCTTCCTCTTCTCCTCTTCCCTCTGCCACCCACCCAGGCCACTACACGTACGACGACTGTCACATCGACCTGCGCCCCTTGGCTCAACTCACCAACGCCCGCCTGCTGCACTGCTGCGCCTCTGGCATTGACCTGGATCAACGTGCTGTGGTGCTGGCGGATGGGCGCCCCCCCATTCGCTACGACGTACTGTCCATTGATATCGGGATCACTCCACTGGTATGCCGTCACGTCATGCACTAGTGTCACCTCTCTGGTAACCGCTGCTGCACTGCTGTGCCTCTGGCCTGGACTTGGAGCAGAGAGCTGCGGTGCTGGCGGATGGGCGTCCTCCTATTCGCTACGACGTGCTTTCCATTGACATCACTGGTATCCTGTCACCTCACGTACGCACTACCAACATCCGCTGCTGCACTGCTGCGCCTCGGGCCTGGACTTGGATCAGCGAGCTGTGGTGCTGGCGGATGGGAATCGCTTTTGAGAATTATCAAAAGCGATTTCCATGTACTTGGATCAGCGTGCGTGCTGTGGTGCTGGCTGGTGGATGGGCGCATGCTTGCCCATTTGTTACGACGACCCGTGTCTTGATACTCCGCCCCACTCCCATCCCCTCCTTCCATCCGTCTGAGCAGCAATCAGTGCCAGGAGCAAAGGAGCTCACCCTCCCAGTGAAGCCCATCGACTCCTTCACCCACCGCTGGGAGGCTCTGCGGTCACGCATCCTCTCCCTCGCCCCTGTGAGTTGTACTGGGGGGGTTGGTCATGCGTGTGGGTGCAAGAGTGCATCCCCCGAGGATCGAATCAAATTAGATCAAGCACCACCACCAGCAGCGCCCTCCCAGTGAAGCCCATAGACTCCTTCACCCACCGCTGGGAGGCCCTGCGGTCACGCATCCTCTCCCTCACCCCCGTGAGGTGGATCAGAAGGACTCCAGCATGAAAATGGTATGTGAGGCTCCTAAGGAATTACCGAAAAACACCGAATTTAAAGCGCCTCACTCTACTTTCGTGGGTGTTTGGTCTAGTGGCATGATTCTCGCTTAGGGTGCGAGAGGTCCCGAGTTCAATTCTCGGAACACCCCGTTGTTTCATTATATATCATTCAGGACCCATGGATATTTTTAGGCACCTCAAAAACCTCCTTTCCCTGGCCCCTGTGAGTTGCTTCAACCAATCTTCCTCCAAGTCGTAAACCTTTTAGATTGAGCTGATAGTTACACCCGGATCTTAATGAGGCCCCAACCACAGTCCACTCATTCGCTCACCGCTGGGAGGCCTTACAGTCACGAATCCTCTCTCGCCCCCCTGTAATTTGCACTGGGAAGGTTAGTGGTGGGTCTAAGGGAGTGTGACTCGATCTAAGCTAGGTCCCCATTTTACGAGGTGACTTTTGAGTCGACTCAAAAGTCACTGGGAAGGTTTGTGGTGGGTCTAAGGAAGTGTGAGTCCCTTAGACTCACCACAAGGGGGTGTGACTCGATCCAAGCTAGGTCCCCAATTCCACCACCACGCAACACTGCCTCTTGACTCACTGCATCTCCATCCACCCCGCATCTCCCCAATTCCACCACCACGCAACACTGCCTCTTGACTTTATAATATAGCGCTCCACACTTGTTACTGGGCCGACGGGCTTCAACGTGCGTTTACTAACGGGATTTAGCCTGGTGGGAGAGGAAGCGACAGGAGGGTTGGAGCTGACTCACTTGCATCCACCGTCCCGCAACCCTCCCAATGCAAGCCAGCCAGCTAGCAACCACTCTTTTCCCTTAAACATCAGGGCTGTAGCGTGCGAGTGATGGTAGTGGGAGGGAGAGCAGGGGGTGTGGAGCTGGCATCATCCACATTCACTGTCCTGCACCCTTCCCAACCCAACCCTACCGTTCACCACTTATTCTCTTACAGGGCTCTAGTGTCCGTGTGGTGGTGGTGGGAGGGGGCGCAGGAGGGGTGGAGCTGCTTCTGGCCATGCAGCACCGACTGCAGCAGGACTGCCTGGTAACCAGATAAGCGGTGGTAACCAGACAGTGGTAACCAGCTGGGGTTAAGAACTTCTGCCATTCCAATCCCTACAGCGTTGCCTTTGCAGCTATGATCTGAAGATTCTGCCTTTGTTGTGTCAGTCTTACAGAAATCAGTTAGTGCCTTCAAGAGCAATTCAGTTTTTTGTTTGTTCTGGTTTTTTATATTTGTGCGTTTTGCAATATTTTGTGTGTGTGTGTGTATGTGTGTGTGTTTGTGTGTGTGTGTGTGTGTGTGTGTGTGTGTGTGTGTGGTTTTTTTTTTTTTTTTTTTTTTTTTTTGGTAATACAGAAAAGCCAGGTGTATGCCTCTTTTGTGCTTATAACGAGGGGGGATCTGCTGCCCACCCACAACGCACGCGTGCGATTGATTGTCCGACGGATCTTGAAGGAGAGAAGTGAGTGAGGGGGGAGTGGAAGAGGAGTGCGGTAGGAGTGAGGGAGAGGAGTGAGGGAGAGGAGTGAGGGAGAGGGGTGAGCGAGAGGAGTGAGGGAGGTTTACGAGGGAGGGGAGTGAAGGTGCTTGATGCGATGATATCTTATCTCTCAAGAAGAGTGTTACCGTTTGCGGCCCATCAACTGGAAGTAACCGTCAGCTGTCTATCCAGTCACCATCCAGGTGACTTTTGAGTCGACTCAAGAGTCAGCTTTTTTTAGTCACCATCCCTCCATGACAACAGTGTGAAAGCTCATAACCTTTTAGGTATCTAATCCTATTCAATCCACCATCCCTCACCCCACATGCGTGCAACCGTCAATGAATGAACCAGGTATTAAGGTTCTCGATGCTGCAGTGGTGGCAGTGAGACAACGAGGAGTGGAGAGCGGTGGAGAGGGAGGGGATAGAGAGGGAGCGGTGGATGGGGCGGAAGGGGAGGTCGGCAGGGGAAGCAGCAGCGGGGCGGGTGGAGGGGAAAAGAGAGAGTCGGCGGTGCAAGGAGGGGTGCTGGTCTTGGAAGGGGGAGAGGAGGTGGAGTTTGACGAGTGTGTGTGGTGCACACAGGTGGGTGTGCTAGTGTGCGTGAGTGAGCAAGAGGGTAAGAGTGTGAAGAAGGAAGTCTGAGAGTGAAGAGGAAAGGGGAGGAAGGTGTTTACTGTCTCACATCCCAGCCCCATTGAGGCCTAAACTCCCTACGCTTTTGTCTTACACTTGTACCGAGCATCCACTCCTCTTCTCTCGTTGCTCCCACCAATCCCTCCCAGGGCGGTGCAGCCTCCTGGCTCGCCCAAACAGGCCTAGCTCTCGACAGCAACGGCTTCATCCGAGTGGGGGACACACTAGAGTCGATCAGCCATAGAGGGGTGTTCGCCGCAGGGGATATCCACTCGTCAATTGCCCATATCCCCCCACCTCCCGCCTGCCCCATCTCCTGCCAAACCCCCCCCACCTCCTACGTAACACCCCTGCTTCCCAGGGAGGAGCAGCCTCCTGGCTTGGCCAAACGGGTCTAGCCCTGGACAAAAACGGCTTCATCCGAGTGGGGGACACGCTAGAGTCGATCAGCCATAGAAGGGTGTTTGCAGTGGGGGATATCCACTCATCCGACGTTTACCCACGGCCGAAGGCGGGCGTGTTTGCAGTGCGGCAGGGCATGCCCTTGGCGGAAAACTTGAGGAGAGCGCTTCTGGATCAGCCTTTGAAACCCTTCCAACCGCAGAAAACGTTTCTGAGCCTCATCAGGTGTGGTGGTTTGTATGAATGTGTATGTGTGTGTCGACTGAGTGGGGTCAAAGCCAAGACTGGCGTGTTTGGTGACTATTGAGTCGACTCAAAAGTCACCTATGTGTGTGTCGACTGAGTGGGGTCAAAGCCAAGACTGGCGTGTTTGGTGACTTTTGAGTGGACTCAAAAGTCACCTATGTGTGTGTCGACTGAGTGGGGTCAAAGCCAAGACTGGCGTGTTTGGTGACTTTTGAGTCGACTCAAAAGTCACCTATGTGTGTGTCGGTCGACTGAGTGGGGTCAAAGCCAAGACTGGCGTGTTTGCAGTGCGGACGGGAATGCCCCTGACTTTTGAGTCAACTCAAAAGTCAACTCATAAGTCAACTCAAAAGTCAACTCAAAAGTCAACTCGCCTGGCTGAGAATCCGAAGAGAGCGCTTATGGATCAACATTCAAAACCCTTCAAACCTTTTTGAACCTCCTCGGGTGCATTGGTTTACATGTATCTGTGTGCCTATTGACTGGGTTATTCAAGTAACAGGACCGAAGTCAGGCATGTTTGTGGTGGGGGGGGTATGTATTGGATATCCATTTACAGTCAAACTCTCAAGCAGTCAAACTCTCTGTCTCACAACCTTGCCATTCGCTCACATCCCCCTCGCTCACATCCCCTCGCTCACATCCCCTCGCTCACATCCCCTCGCTCACATCCCCTCGCTCACATCCCCTCGCTCACATCCCCTCGCTCACATCCCCTCGCTCACATCCCCTCGCTCACATCCCCTCGCTCACATCCCCTCGCTCACATCCCCTCGCTCACATCCCCTCGCTCACATCCCCTCGCTCACATCCCCTCGCTCACATCCCCTCGCTCACATCCCCTCGCTCACATCCCCTCGCTCACATCCCCTCGCTCACATCCCCTCGCTCACATCCCCTCGCTCACATCCCCTCGCTCACATCCCCTCGCTCACATCCCCTCGCTCACATCCCCTCGCTCACATCCCCTCGCTCACATCCCCTCGCTCACAGCACCGGTGATAAATACGCGGTCTTCTCTCGGGGCTCGTTGGCCTTTGAAGACAGTATTATGTGGACGCTCAAGGTGAGAAAGCAGCTGGACCTCCTTCCTTTATACCATTTTACCGCTCAGCACCGCATCGATCGAGCCTTCCTGAGGCAGTTCAGCCAACTGCCCGCCTTCATCCTTTGGCTGAACTGCCGCATCACCCTTTGAGGCACTGAAACACCTGTAATCGACATCTCGCCCCCTTCCCCCCATCCAAACCTTCCAACCGCTCAGGACCGCATAGACCGGGCGTTCATGCAGCAGTTCAACCAACTACCTGCCATGCCGTCACCTCCTCTCCCCACCATCCCCGTCGCACACACGGCCGGGCCTGAAGCGCTCCTGGCACTCAAAAGCATGCCCATGCGCTGTGGGGGGTGTGGCTCCAAGGTGAGAGAGGCGTGTAGGTCGACGTGTAAGTCTCCACCTATCGCCCCCTCTCCCCACCATCCCCGTCGCAAACACGGCCGGGCCTGAAGCGCTCCTGGCACTCAAAAGCATGCCCATGCGCTGTGGGGGGTGTGGCTCCAAGGTGAGAGAGGCGTGTAGGTCGACGTGTAAGTCTCCACCTATCGCCCCCTCTCCCCACCATCCCCGTCGCACACACGGCCGGGCCTGAAGCACTCCTGGCACTCAAAAGCATGCCCATGCGCTGTGGGGGGTGTGGCTCCAAGGTGAGAGAGGCGTGTAGGTCGACGTGTAAGTCCCCACCTATCGCCCTCTCTCCCCACCATCCCTGTCACACACACGGTTGGGCCTGAAGCGCTCCTGGCGCTCAAGAGCATGCCCATGCGCTGTGGGGGGTGTGGCTCCAAGGTGAGAGAGGCGTGTAGGTCGACGTGTAAGTCCCCACCTATCGCCCTCTCTCCCCACCATCCCTGTCACACACACGGTTGGGCCTGAAGCGCTCCTGGCGCTCAAGAGCATGCCCATGCGCTGTGGGGGGTGTGGCTCCAAGGTGAGAGAGGCGTGTAGGTCGACGTGTAAGTCCCCACCTATCGCCCTCTCTCCCCACCATCCCTGTCACACACACGGTTGGGCCTGAAGCGCTCCTGGCGCTCAAGAGCATGCCCATGCGCTGTGGGGGGTGTGGCTCCAAGGCGAGAGAGAGACCTCTGTGCTCCAAGGTGGGATGTGGACTCCCATGTAAGGTGAGGTGTTACATGCGCTTTGGTTCCACGCCTTCTTGATTGAAGAAGGGTTTTGAGCCGTCTCAAAACCCTTCTTCAATCATGTGGACCCCCATGTAAGGTGAGGTGTTACATGCGCTTTGGTTCCACGCCTTCTTTTGAGGTCGTTTTTGAGGCGGTTTTTGAGGCGCCTCAAAAACTCCCATGTAAGGTGAGGTGTTACATGCGCTTTGGTTCCACGCCTTCTTCATGCCACCGCCCCCTCCCCCCACCATCCCCGTCGCACACATGGCTGGGCCGCTGCAATCAAGAGCATGCCCATGCGGTGTGGGGATTGTGGCTCCAAGGCGAGTCATTGCTAGCTGCGATGTGGGCATGCATTCGCAGTGAGACATATTTCCCTACACCGGACAGCGCGCTCTTGCATCTCCTATCATCACCCACCCCTCAATCGCTCTCCCTTGTCTCTCGCCACCCTCCTGAAGACACCACACAGCCATCTTCTGTCTTCACTCATCTCTTCTCTCCCAACCCTCCCCCCCCCCCCCCCCCCCCCCCCCCCCCCCCCCCCCCCCCCCCCCCCCCCCCCCCCCCCCCCCCCCCCCCCCCCTATCCCACCAGGTTGGCTCTTCCCTTCTCTCCCGCGTCCTCACTCGTCTCGCAGCTCTCCCCAGCCGCCCGCCTGGCCACCCGGAAATCCTCCTGGGGCTTGACTCACCTGATGATGCCGCTGTGCTGGCGATTCCACCTGAGGGAAAGGGCGGCTGTCAGGTATGCATCTGAAAATTCTCCTGGGGCTTGACTCACCTGACGATGCCGCTGTGCTGGCGATTCCACCTGAGGGAAAGGGCGGCTGTCAGGTATGCATCTGAAAATTCTCCTGGGGCTTGACTCACCTGACGACGCCGCTGTGCTGGCAATTCCACCTGACAGCACGGGTGGCAGACAGGTGCGCATGTGGAATTTCTCCTGGCTAATCACCTGATGCTGCCGTGGTGGGTGATTCCACCTGAGAGCAAGGCTGGCTGTCAGGTATGCAAATTCACCTGACGATGCTGCTGTGCTGGCGATAACACCTGACAGCACGGTCGGCGTTAGTCAGGTACGCATCCGGAAATTCTTCAGGGCTGAATTGATGGAATCACCTGGCCTCACACCTGACAATTCGTCTGCATGTGGCTGTCTTCCCATCTCTCTTCTCCCCATCTCCATTCTCCCATCTGCCACCTCTCATTGGCCCCTGCCCTGCCCTCACAGCTGTGTGCCTTTTCCCCTCCACACTCCACTCTCCACCACCCCAATCAGAACCCAGTAGTGGTGCAATCAGTTGACTTCCTCTCCGACCCGCTCCTTCCTCTCCGACCCGCTCCTTCCTCTCCGACCCGCTCCTTCCTCTCCGACCCGCTCCTTCCTCTCCGACCCGCTCCTTCCTCTCCGACCCGCTCCTTCCTCTCCGACCCGCTCCTTCCTCTCCGACCCGCTCCTTCCTCTCCGACCCGCTCCTTCCTCTCCGACCCGCTCCTTCCTCTCCGACCCACACACCTTTGGTCGGATTGCCGCCCTCCATGTTCTCACATGCTTCATGTTTGTTCCCCACCTCCCTTCTCCCCCTGTCTGAGCAACCAGAGCCCAGTGTTGGTGCAAACGGTCGACTTCTTCCACTCCTTCCTCTCCGATCCGCACACCTGTGCCCACATACCTGCCACTGCCGCCCTCCCTGCCACAACAAGCCATATGCTTTCCCTCTGTCTCCCTTCTCCCCCTGTCTGAGCAACCAGAACCCAGTGGTGGTGCAAACGGTCGACTTCTTCCGCTCCTTCCTCTCCGATCCGCACACCTTTGGTCGAATCGCTGCTCTCCACGCTCTCACAAAGTGCATGCTTCCCCTTTTTCTTTCATCTCTCCCTCGCTCTCCCACCAGAGCCCAGTGTTGGTGCAAACGGTCGACTTCTTCCGCTCCTTCCTCTCCGACCCGCACACCTTCGGCCGCATTGCCGCCCTACATGCTCTCAGTGACTGCTTCGCCATGGGTGCTGACCCCGTCTCAGCGCTTGCTATAGTCACACTGCCCTATGGTACCGAGGAGAAGGTGAGACCCCCCGTTACTGTCACATTGCTTGCCGTCCTCCACGCTCTCGGTGACTGCTTCGCCATGGGTGCCTTCCCCCTCGCTCTCCCATTTTCGTCTCTTCCCATCTCCTATGTCTCCCGCTCCCACTCTCATCAGATGGAGGAGGAGATTTTCCAGCTCATGCCAGGGGCCATCTGCGAATCAAAAGCGCCCCTTTTGCTCTCCCTTCTCCCTCCCCCTTCCCTCCACTTCTCCCCCTTCCTTGTCCGACTCATCCATCTCCCCCTTCACTCCCACTCCCCCACTTCTCCTTTCCACTCTCATCAGATGGAGGAGGAGCTTTTCCAGGTCATGGCAGGGGCCATCCGCGAATTGGATGCTGCCACGTGTCAGCTGGTGGGAGGGCACACTGTGGAGGGTGCTGAGCTGTCGCTGGGGTTTGCTGTCACGGGATTGGCTGACAGAGACCGGCTGCTGAGAAAGGTACATGAGTAACTATTGTTAATTTCTGAAACATAATTCTGCCATCATCCTCACCCACTTGTCACACCGCACAGGAGTCACACCGCACTTGTCACAGCAGCATCTCCGTCCCATACCTCCCTCCCTGGACTGTCCTGTGTGCGTTCCTCTCTCACCCCATGCACACACACAGGCGGGCATGTGTGAGCGAGATGCCATCATTCTCACCAAGCCCATCAGCACAGGAGTCACACTTGTCACACCTACATCTCCTTCCCATACCTGTCTCAGGGATGCCTTGTGTGCGCACCTCGTGTCCCATGCAGGCGGGCATGCATGAGGGAGATGCCATCATTCTCACCAAGCCCATCGGCACGGGAGTCATCTTTGCAGCCAACATGCGATGCAAGTCCAAGGTGGGACGGTGGAATGGTGAGCTAAAAGCTCGGGTCATAGGCATAGGGCCTCGGGCTCACAATTAACACTCTTCTCAGCCAAAAACTTACTCAAAGAACAAAACCTTTCATCAAGAAAGTCACAGTTAATAATACATGACTCCAACAGCTCTCTGGCCATCTTTCCACCATATGAGATTCCTCTCATATGAGATGATTTTTTAGGCGCCTCTTTATCCCAGCTCAGAAGTAGTTCCGACAGCTCTCTGGTCAAATTTACCAGCCCCAATAGACCTAGGCCTCCTTTAGCCCAGCTCTTTTCCTTGAATATGGTGGTGGGATTTCCTAATTACCTCTATCCATCTGCCAGTGCCCCCTCTTTGTACTCAAGCGTTACCTCCTGACCTCTATCCGTCTTCCTCTGCCTAACCCCCCCTCCCTTGTGCTATCCTCCCACACCCATCAGGGACGGTGGGTGGATGGGGCGATCGATAGCATGCTGGTGTCTAATCAGGTGAGTCCATGCAAGGGAAGAATCCCCCGATTCATTCAACAATATCAGCAAGTAACACTGCTGAAACAAGTAGGCCTCCCTCGGCATTGTCCTCCCACAACCATCAGGGACGGTGGGTGGATGGGGTGATCCATAGCATGCTGGTGCCTAATCAGGTGAGTCGGGGGAGGAATGTTGCCCCTACTCCTTCAACAATATCCACAAGTAGCACGGCTGAAGCAAGTAGTGGGTGGATGGGGTGATCCATATCATGCTGGTGTCTAATCAGGTGAGTCGGGGGAAGGCGTGATGTGTCAAGTAGTGTGATGCCTCGCAACTGGTGTAGATTCAGGTGACTTAAGGGCTGAAACGTTCCTTCCCTCATTCCTGTTCAAGCTTCGAAACCAGCAGGGGAACAGCCATTCAATTACATGGCAACATGGAACTCTTGCTGCCACCATCATTACTACCCTATTGCCCCCCTCCTCTCCCATTCCCTTCCCTTCCCTTGCAACCCATCATCCCCCCTTCCCTCACCTTCCTTCCCCTCTTCGCCACCAGAAAGCAGCGTCCATTGCATTGCAACATGGGGCCTCGGCTGCTACTGATGTCACGGGATTTGGCTTACTTGGTGAGTTTACCCGGACCAGTACGTTTTGAGAGGTCTTGATACTACGTACCATGCCATGCCATGCAATGCCATGTCTTACCATGCGCATATTGCGATGTGTGTATGTGACATGCCTTGCCTATGCACATACAACAACCCATGGCTTGGCCTGCGTGTGTGTGTGCCATGCTTCTCCAATGCCGTGCGTATGCATCAACAAGTGGAAATGGCCCCGGCATCTCGAGTTACTGTCACCATCGGTCCCTCTACAATCCCCATTTATTCAATTCGGCCCTTCATGCCTTCCTTGTATGCCTTCCCATGCCGTCTACAGGCCACCTGGTGGAAATGACAACAGCATCTCGAGTTACTGTAACAATCGACCCCTCTACAATCCCCATTATGGTAACCACTTGCACACCTCGTAACCAACTGTAGTGATCGTCCATGTTTTGTAATAGAATGCTTTTCAAGAAGGCGTTTTCAGCTCAATGCAGGATTCGAAGGCTTTTTTTCGTTTCCTTCTCTGAGCCCTCCCTTCCTCTCAACAATGGCACTTTGACTGCATGTAAGGCATGCAAGGTTAGCTCACTTCAGTAATTTTATTCTGAGCTTGAAACATCTCCACCTTTTCCTCAACCTCACCCATCCCGTTCTCTCTCTAGGACGGTGCACGGCAGTGTGTGGAGGATGGCATTTTCAGCTCGCTGCAGGATTCGAACCTGCGCCTGAGACGAGCAATCACCAACTACGAGGAGGTGAGGGAGGGGACAGAATGCTAGGATGTGGGGATGAGATGAGATGAATCGACTAGTGAGTTTCGTAAGCCACATACCATAGACCCACCCCCTCCTTCACCCTTGCCCTCCCCAAAACTCCCTCCCTCACCCCACCCTCCTTCCCTCCTCTCTGTTCAGGCATCCGCCCATCTGCTCACTCTGCTCCTCTTCGACCCGCAAACAGCCGGAGGGCTGCTCTTTTCTTTCCATCCCTAAGCCACGGCCACGCATGGCTTTGAATCGTGACATTGCTATCTGCTCAATGCTTGCCATCTATGCAGCACCTCATGAATTTCTCGCTTCTCTCCCCCATCCCCACCATGGTGTCCAGGCATCCGCCCATCCCCGCACTCCTCTCCTCTTCGACCTGCAAACAGCCGAAGGGCTGTTCCTTTCCATCCCCCAAGCCACTGCCACTCACTGCTTGCTGGCTCTGAAACCCCAAATCCTTCGCTCCACTTTCCCCTTCACCCTCCCCACTCTCCCTCCCTCCCCCTCCCTCTACCTTGTCCAGGCATCCACCCATCCGCTCACTCCTCTCCTCTTCGACCCGCAAACAGCCGGAGGGCTGCTCCTTTCCGTCCCCCAATCCACGGCCACTCAGTGCTTGCTAGCTCTGCACAGAGAGGGGTACCCTGCTGCTGCTGTGATTGGTCGGGTAATTTCGTCATCAACAGAAGAGGCAAGTGGGGATGCGTCTGTTACAATAGCCTACAGCCAGTAAAAGACTGCATTAAGTATGGTATGGCCTTTTTGACAAGAAGTGTTCCCAAGTTTTGGGACGTCCCAAACCTACGCCTCTGTTACATTAGACTGCAGCCAGTAAGGATGCATAAAGTATGTACTATTTGACAAGAAGTGGCCTCCAAGCCACGGCTACACAGTGCTTGCTTGCTCTGCACAGCGAGGGGTTCCCTCCCTGCTGCTGTGATTGGTCGAGTGGCAAGCGGATTCTGAAGGAGAGGCAAGCGGATCACACTGTTACGATGCAATGCTGCCCTGTTACAAAAGTAAGCTGTTCCGTGTGTGTGTGATGGTACACAATTCCTCGGGTCCTTATATTATGGTACAGATTATTAGATCAAAGGTTCACCACAACATACGGTAACACAAGCAGCAACCAGTGAGGCATTCGTTATATGGTCCTGGACACTGGCTGAACGCATCTGTTATTAGGATGGAAAGATATGAACACTGTAGTGAGGGGGAGGGTCAGGAAGGCCGAAAGGGAGTAAAGGACCTAACAGCATGCAATGAAAAAAGCAAATCAGGGAGGAAAAGCAGCAGTAGGGGCAGTGGCAGAAGGCATGGCTTTCCAGGGTGCAGCAGCAGCAGCAGGAGGAAGAGGAAGAGAGGGTACATTATGGGCAGCAGCAGTAGCAGCAGCAGCAGCAGTAGAAGCAGGAAAAGGAGGGACAGTGGCAACAGGGCCTTTAAGGGCAGCAGGAGCAGCAGCCGGAAAAGTAAGGACTTGTTTGGAGCTCACAGGCAGTATGGATGCGGCTACTGAGCGAGTGGCTGAGGGGATAGACAATTGCAGACACCAGGGGGTGATGCTCTGGTGTAGACACCTGGTGTCAGGGGAAAAGAGTCACTTCTGAGAATTCTCAGGGGCAGCTGCAGGAAGTGAGGTCGAAGTGAGGACTTGTTTAGAGCCAACAGGCGGTATGAGTGCAGCCACTGAGTGCGTGGCAGAGGTAAGAGACGAGGGGGTAGAGGAAGGGACAGACGAGGGGGTAGAGGAAGGGACAGACGAGGCGATGGATGAGAGAGGAGAGGAAACCACGGCATTCTTTAGAGCGGGGTTGAGAGCGGGAGCGGGATTCCCAGTAGGAGCAGGACGAGCAGGCTGGTTAGGAACGAGGTGCGAGTGGGTGTGGTGAGCATTAGGGTGAGACGCGCCTTTAGAGGCAGGGCGAACGAGCTGCTTTGCTGTGAGGTGCGAGTGAGTGTGGTGAGTGGGGTGAGTGTGGTGAGTGTTAGAGTGAGATGTGCTGGCAGCCTTGGTAGTGGCTGGGCGGCGAGGGGGAATGATGTGCAGCTTCACAGAGTTGCCTCCTCCCCCTCCTCCTGCTGCTGATGCTGTTGCTCTTGGTGCTGCTGTAGCTGTTGCTCTTGGTGCTGCTGCTGCTGTTCCTTGTGGTGCTGCTGCTGTTGCTGTTGCTTTTGGTGCGGCTCCTGCTGTTGTTGTTGCTGCTGTTGCTCTTCCTGCTGCTGCTGTTGTCGCTGTTGTTGCTTTCGTTGCTGCTCCCGTTGCTGCTGCTGTTGCTCTTGGTGCTGCTCCTGTTGTTGTTGCTGCAGCTCCTCTTGGTGCTGTGCCAATTGCTGCTGTTGTTGCTTTTGCTGTTGTTGCTTTCGGTGCTGCTCCCGTTGCGGCTGTAGTTGCTCTTGGTGCTGCTCCTGCCGCTGCCACTCCTGCTTCTGCTCCTGCTGCTCCTGTTGCAACAACATCTGCTGGCAAGGCTAAGCGAGTCGTTGCTTGAATCGCCTTGACACTGCCTGCTGCCCTCGTCCCTCCTGCTGCTGCCCTGCCTGTCGCTGCCATTGCTGCCGTCTCTGCTGCTTCTGGGGCAGCTGCTGCTGCGGCTGCTGCTGACGGTGCTGCTGGTGCTTTAGCTGACACTGCTGCTGCTTGTGCTGAAGTTTGTGCTGCTTGTGCTGCCGTTGCTGGGATTGCTGCCACGGCAGAACCCACTGCTCTTGCTGCTTGCGGCGATCCAAATAGTCCTGCCCACGCTGCCTTAAACGCTGCCTCTGTTGCCACTGCCGACACTGTAACTGCTGCTGCTGACCTTGCTGCAGCTTCTGCCGCTGGTGGTGCTGCTCCCCCTGCTGCTGGTGATGGCGTTGCTTCTGCTGCGTTTGGGATAGCAGGTGGCACATGCCCTCTTGCACTGCCCGCTGCGCTCCCTCTGCTCTAAAGAGGAGACAACGAGGAGATGAAACGAAGACAAAAGGCAGGGAAGAAGGGAGAGAGAACAGGAGGAAAGAAGGAAGGTTTGGGACAGCATGTGGCACATGCCCTCTTGCACTGCCCGCTGCCCTCCCTCTGCTCTAAAGAGGAGACAAAGACGAGGCAAAATGAAGACAAGAAGAGGAGACAGCGAAGCAGGGAGTAACGGAAAAACGAATGGATATAAGGGACAGTGGGGAAATTGACTGCTGTAAAACATGAAGGAAACGGGAGCTGGGATGCTGACACGAATAAGAATCCACGCAAAGAGACGACAACATCTATGCATTCTGTAATGCATCTGCGCTGACTCAAACAGCATCAGAGACGGGAATCACCTTGTAACACTTGACGACGGCAGTTCAGGTGCAACGGGTACACCTGAAGCTCCATCAGCAGAAGTACCTCCACCAGCGGAAGCACCTCCACCAGCAGAAGCAGCAGCAGCAACAGCAGCAGCAGCAGCAGCAGCAGCAGCACCACCACCACCACCACCACCACCATTACCAGCACCACCAGCACCACCACTACCACCACCACTAGCAGCACCACCAGCAGCACCACCAGCATCACCACCACCCTTCTCCTCCACCTCCTCTTCATCTGAATCTGAGAGCAGTTCAATCACCTCTGCTTCCACAGCTTTAGCAGTACCAGCACTCTTAGCACCGGCAGTCTTAGCAGCAGCACCCTTAGCACCAGCACCACTCTTCCCAACAGCAGTCTTTCCCCCCCCCGGAGTAGTACCACCCCTCGTACTCACAACAGCACCCTTTACTGTCACACTGCTACTCACACTACCCCGCTTCTCCCTCTCTACAGTCCCACGTGTGTCCCTCCTACTCTCCACCACACCACCTCTCCCAGAGGATGCTGCTGCTGAATCACTTGAACCCTTTGCTCGTGCTCGTGTGGCAACAACAAACCCTCCAGAAGCTGATGCTTCTCCTCTACCTCCCTCCTCCATCACGCCACCTCTCCCTAATGATGCTGCAGAATCGTTTGAACCACTCCCTCTTGCTCTTAGAGCAACAACCACCCCCCTAGAAGCTGTTGCTCCTCCTTTGCTTCCCTCCTCCACACCTCTAATCACTCTTTGCTGCTGCTGCCCCTGCTGCCCCTGCCCCTGCACCTGCTGCTCCTGCTCCTGCCCCTGCCCCTGCTGCCCCTGCTGCTGCCCCTGCTGCCCCTGCTGCTGCCCCTGCTGCCCCTGCTGCTGCCCCTGCAGTCCCTGCTGAGCCTGTTCCAACTGCAGTCGAATCTGAGCGGCCTCTTCCTTCGTGCAGATGACATGCAAATCGCGGACCACCATAACAGTCTTCTTGCCCTTCCGATGCCCTGAGCTGCTGCCCGAACCACCACTGCCAGCAGAACCACCCATGCTAACACCATCCTTCCCATCCTTCCTTTCAACTGAACCCCCTTCAGCCATCGCAGTGCGGAGCACCATAAAAGTCTTCTTGCCCTTCCGTTGCCCAGAGGCGCTGCCTGAACCACCACTGCCAGCAGAACCGCCCGTGCTTACACCATCCTTCCCTCCCTTCCCCTCTTTCCCGTCCATTTCCTCCCCCCCTCCCTTCCCAACCTTCCCAATCTTCTCATCCTTCTCATCCTCCCATTCCTCCTCTCCTTCCCCATATCTAGAACCTTTTCAACCTGTTCCTGACTTCCTTCCGCTTCCCCCTCTCCCTTTCCTCCACCTTCCCGTCCTTCTCCTCCCGTATCTCCATCTCTCTTCCTCTTAACTCCACCCACGCTCGTGCCCCTTCCCCTAGCACAGCCCTCCTCTCCCACCTCCCCTCCTCCCACCACACTTTCCACCAGCAGATCACAACCCTCCCCCACTTGCTCCGCCTTCGTCAGCTCCCCTCCTCCCACCACACTCCCCACCAGCAGACCACAACCCTCCCCCACTTGCTCCTCCTTTTTCACCTCCCCTCCTCCCACCACACTCCCCACCACCAGGTCTCGACCCTTCCCCCTTTGCTCCTTCTCTTCCCCAAAACTCTTCTCCTCAAGCCCACGCCCACTGTAATCAGCAGCCGGTTTCTCTTCAATCATTCCATCCATCCCTTCTGCACGCCCATGCGCCTCACATGCCATCCCTGCTGCTGCATGCACGCCCATTGAAATCCCTGCACGCCCACTGTAATCAGCATCCGGTTTCTCTTCAATCATTCCATCCATCCCTTCTGCACGCCCATGCGCCTCACATGCCATCCCTGCTACGGCATCGCCTGCTGGTCTAAAAGCCCCACTAAACGCTGCACCCACCACTGCAGCTGCTGCGCCACTCTTCCCTGCCTCTGAAAAACCCTCAACCCCCACTTGTCCATCCATGTGTGCCGATGATTGAGGCGCCTTAAGAGCAACGCCACTCGAAGCCCCACCCACCACCACCACCGCCGCTGCCCTCTCCACCACAGCTGCTGCTGGCCCATCTCTCCCTGCCTCAGAGCTACTCCCTCCCCTCTCTGGCCCACCCTTTCCTGCCTCTGAAAACCTAGCAAGCTCCACTTGTCCATCCAGGGAAGCAACCCCTGCTAGAACCATGTCCCTTCCTCGCACACAGGGTTCACTCACTTCAAGTCCATTCATGTGAGGCGAACTTGCTGCGGTTACCATGTCCGTGTCTCTTGCAGTCACGGTTTGAGTAGAACAGGGAGTAACTGGCTCCCTTCCCTGCACAGAGGGTTCACTCCCTGTGCGCCCATTCACGTGAGTCAAACTTGCTGTTACCATGTCTGTGTCTCTTGCAGTCACGGTTTGACTAGAACAGGAAAGAACTGTCTCGCTCAACACTGAACCGGGTGCAAGTGTGTCCCTTGAAACTAGAATAGGTGCCAGTGAGGCTGTCTCTCTTGCTGTCCCGTTTTGAGAAGCACCACATAAGACATCGTCTCCCAAAACTGATCTTGTTGTACCCATGTCCGCCTCCCTTCCTGTTACACAGGCCGGACTCGCTGTAACCCCATTCACCTGGTGGTCACCACCAGCTACCTCCACAGCTTCGTCCTCCATCCGGTTGCGAGATGCGTTTTGGGTCGTCTCAAGAGTCCCCCCATTCACCTGGTGGTCACCACCAGCTACCTCCACAGCTTCCCCCCCCTCCACCTGGTTTTGAAGTGCCTTTTCGGTCGGCTCAAGAGTCACCCCATTCATGTTCTGGTAACCACCATTAACCTCCACCTCCACGGCTTCTACCTCCTCCACCCGGTTTCCCTCCTCACACCCCTCGCCTCTCCCCTCACCTTCTCTCACTCCCTCTCTCATCCCCTCTCTCCCCTCCTCTCCAGCAGTCTCTATTACGTCCTCTTCCTCATCCTCCCTCCCCTCTCCTTCCCCACCCCTCCTTCCTCCCTCCTCCCCACTCCCAACCGCACTCGATTGCACTCCATCTCCCTCCGTCCCTCTCTCCAATGCCCCACTCGCCTCCTCTTCCTTCTTCCTCTTTTCCTCCTCCTCCGCCTTCCTCCTCCTCTCCTCCTCTCTTCGCTTCAATGCAATCATTATCATCCTCTCCTCTTCATCCGACTCAGAACAGCTCCCGTCCTCCCCACCACCGTTCTCCACCACTCTCCACCTGCCATCTGGAAAAACCTCCACCTCGTCAACCTCGTCACTCGTTTCATCAAGAATCTTTTGCACTGTGGGGAAAACGGAGGGGTGCAGTGCGGTGCAGTGGGGAGGGGGAGGGGGGTGTGGGGAGAGAGGAAGCGGATGCGGATGCCCATTTGGAAACAAATCCACCTCGTCATCCGTCCCACTCGTTTCAACAAGAATCGTTTGCACTGTTGGGAAAGCAGAGAGATGTAGTGCTGAGCAGTGAGGAGGATGGGGAGGTGCGGGAGCGGGGGAGGGCGAGTTAGAGGCAAAGGAGAGGGAGAACAGGAAAAAGGAGGAAACTGGCAAGCGCAAGGTGGAGTGCGGTGCATGGGGCTTCAATGCGGTGCAGTGCGCTAAAAATGCACTTACTGAATCCATCCAGGAACAGCTCGGACCACAGCAGTTGCTGGTAGCAAACAGGGCAGCGCCACGCTCGCTTGACGTTCTTGGCAAGGCCTTGGTTCAAGCGCAGGTAGGAAGCCAGATCAAATGTGCTCTCGTGAGAGCACTTCTTGCCCCGCACTGGCACCTGCAGTGGGAGTTGGGGGATGGGTAATGGACAATTCAGTATTGATTGAACTGGTTGGGCTGGCGCCTAAACCCTGACTGTCCCCTGCTGGTAGCAAATAGGGCAGCGCCGCTCGCTTGACGTTCTTGGCCAGGCCCTGTTTCAAGCGCAGGTACGATGCGAGGTCGAAGGTGCTCTCGTGGGAGCACTTCTTACCTCGCACTGGCCCAACTTACAAAGCAGTGATGGATGGGCGTGGAAAAACCATATCAGGTAAGTATGGGTCCAAACTTTGGTGCGGGCGAGAGAGCACTTGATGCTAAACACACGAGTGAATGCTATGAACAATAGAGTGGAGTTTGCTAGAGCCTGACAGACCTTGATGCGGGTGAGGGAGAGAGGGCACTTGAGGCTGAGCACAAAGGCTTCTGTCTCCACGCCGCCCTCCCTCAGCTGTGCTGCTGAGTTGCTAATCATCTGTGCCACCACCTCCTCACTCGCCCGCACCTTCCTCTCCTGCATCGTCACCTCCTGTGAGTCACAGGTGTGGAACGGGGTGGAGAGGAAAGAAAGAGGGAGTAAGGGGAAGTAGAGGATGGAAAATCAGGTTTGGGACAGGTCAACGCCACCACCTCCTCACTCGCCCGCACCTTCCTCTCTTGCATCGTCACCTCCTGTGGGGGGGTGGGGGGAAGAAGGACGGCTGTTCGGGTGGGAAAGGAGGAATTGAAACGGGTCACTGCGCCACCACCTGCTCACTCGCCTCGCCGCACCTTTCTCGCTTCCATCGTCACCTCCTGTGTGTCACAGGTGGGGTGGAGTGAAGAAGGAGGGAGTTCGGGTGGGAAACGGGGTTCAAAACGGGTCAAAACGGGTCAGTGTGCCATGCCATGCCACCACCTCCTCACTCGCCTGCACCATCCTCTCTTGCATCGTCTCACTCACCAGCTGTTCAATACCCTTCTATGTGCGCATCATCTTGAGCATCTCAGGAGGGTTACACACCATTACTGATTCCACACCTATCTTCTCACTCCCTTCCTCTCTCCCCACTCCGTTCCCCCTTCCACAGCACAATCTTCACCAGTTTTCCCAGGCACTCACAGCTGTTTAATGCCCTTCTCTGAGCGCATCATCTTGAGCACCTCGGGAGGGTTCTACACCACCACCCACTACCTCCACAACCCGGCCGCTCTTCTCCCAACGGCATGCAAGATTCCCAGGTCCCCACTCACCAGATGTTTGATGCCCTTCTCAGTGCGCATCATCTTGAACACATCGGGAGGGTTGTAAGCCACCACCCGCTTTACACAGGATGACAATCCCCCTCCTTATCTCCCCCCCCCCACACCACCCCTCCCGCACCATAAGTGCCAAACCTAGGCAAGAAACAGGCAGGCACTCACCAGCTGTTTGATGCCCTTCTCTGTGCGCATCATCTTGAGAACCTCGGGAGGATTATAAGCCACCACCCGTTCCACCCAGTACAAATCCACATCCGTCCTCTCACACACCTCCCCGCCCACATCACACATCTTCCCAAGGCTCCCCTGGCACTCCGTAGGAAACGCCGGCAGCAGCCGAACCACCGCTAACACCGTCTCAAACAGCTCTTCTTTCGCTGCCTTTTCCTCCTCCGGCTTGCCCTGAAACGGGTCACGCTCGCGGGGGCCCAGACGCCCGTCGACCTTTTTTTCCCACCAGGAGATCAATTCCTGCAGCTGCATTTTCAGCAAGTCCCCGTGCTGTGCTGCTGCCCTGCGTCTGCGGGTCTCTGCCTCCTTCTCCTCCTTCTCCCATTTCGCCACCACGTTTTCCCCTCTCGCTACAGGACTCACATCCCCATCGCCCCCCTCTCCTTGCCCCTCCTCCTCTCCTGTTTCGCCCCCACCTTGCCCCCCCCCCCGCTGCCCCCTCTCCCCCTTCCTTCTGCTCACCCGCCGCTTCACCCCCGTTCTCCCCACCCTCTCCCCCATCCATGCCCTCTTTCAGCAGCAGGGCCTTCACCCCAAAAAGCATCTCCACCTGTCGAATCGACTCATGGATCGACCTGAGCGCCCTGTAATGCAGAGGCTCGAGAACTTTAGGCTGTGATCCAAGAAACGCGTCTGAAGTGTCCCCATCGTCTTTTTCCATGTCTTCATCCTCGTCCTTGCGAGCTGTTTTCCTGCGCTTGCTTCGCCATAGGTTAGGCAGGGAGTGCTCTGGAAGTGAGTGCTTTTGAGACTGCTGCTGCGGCTTCTGCTGCTGCGGTTGCTGTTGCTGTGGTTGCTGCTGCTGCTGTGGTAGCTGCTGCTGCTGTTGTTGCTGCAGCTGCAGCTGCTGCTGCTGCTGTTGCTGCTGTTGCTGCAGCTGCTTCTGCTGCTGTTGCTGCTGCTGCTGCTGCTGCTTCTTCTGCTGCAATAGCATCTGTTGTTGCTGTTGCTGCTGCTGCTGTAACATGGGGTGCGGCTGCTGTTGCTGCAGCAGCACATGCTGCTGCTGTTGTTGGCGCGGCATACTGTTCTGCTGCTGCTGCTGTGAAGGCACCTGATGCTGCTGTTGCATCTGGTTGCCTTGAACAGTCAACTGTTGCTGTTGTTGACGCAGCGTACTGCTGTTCTGCTGCTGCTGCTGTGAAGGCACCTGATGCTGCTGGTGTTGCATCTGATTGCCTTGAACAGTCAACTGCTGCTGTTTCGGCTGCTGCTGCTGCTGTCTCAACTGCTGCAGCAGTTGCTGCTGCTGCTTCCACTCCTGCATCTGTTGTTGCTGCCTTTGATACGTCTGCTGCTCCTCGCGAATACGTTGCGCCTGAGATAAGGTTGCATCTTGTTCCTGAACACGCCCTTGTAGCTGCTTCAGCTGCAGCTGCGATGACTGCGTCTGTGGTTGTGTGTGTGGCTTCTTCAGCTGCTCCCACCACTGCTGCTGCTGCTGCTGCTGCTGCTGAGTAGGAGGTTGCTGAAGCTCCTGTGGTTGCTGCGGCTGTTGCTGTTGGGTCGCTTGTGGTGGGAAGTGGGGCGCAACGCCTTGCTGCTTCTGCATAGGGTGGCCTAGCAAGAGTTGCTGAAGGTTTCGTGGAAGCTTGAACAGGGATGATCTTGCTCCTGTACCTGCTGCTGTTGGTTCGGCTGCTGCTTCTGTCTCTTTGGCTGCCCTTGCTGCTGCCCCTGGTGCTGTTGGTGCTGCTTCTGTTTCTGCTGCTGCTGCCCCTGCTGCTGCTGTCGCTGCTGCTGCGGCGGCTGGAGCGGCTGCGGCGGCTGGAGTGGCTGCGGCGGCGGCTGCTGCAGCTGCAGCTGTTGTTGCGGCATATGCATACCATGCAGGCCAGACAACGGCTGAGGCGACGTGAAATGCTGCTGCAGATGCTGGTGCTGTTGAAGCTGCTGATGCTGTTGGTACTGCTGTTGCCATAGCTGTAACTGGTCTAGCTGCGCCTGCTGCTGAGGCTGCATCATTACCTGTGGACTCGCCTGCTGCCGGCACTGCTGCTGCTGCTGCTGTGGGGACAAAGCCGGCACCGGATTTCCCTGCTGCAGCAAACTGTGTTGTTGCTGCAGCTGCGGCTGCATTATATGCTGATGCTGCTGGGGGAATAGAGCTGGCGGCTTGAGACTCTGCACTGGACTTTGCTGCTGCACCAGCCTGTTCCGTTGCTGTTGCTGTTGCTGCTGTTGCTGTTGCTGCTGTTGCTGCTGCTGTTGCTGTTGCTGCTGTTGCTGTTGCTGCTGTTGCGCCTGCGCCTGCGCTTGCTGCTGGGTCTGCGCTTGCGGCTGGCCCTGCTGCGGTTGCTGCAGGGTGAACTTGCGTGGCCCTGCCAAACCTGGCTGCTGCAACAGCATGTTACGCTGCTGCTGCTGCTGCTGCTGCTGCTGCTGCTGCTGCTGTGGTTGCTGTTGCCGCTGCTGATGCTGCTGCGATTGCGTTTGTTGCTGGCCCACCACCGGCTGCCGAACCTGCGGCTGCAACAGCCGGTTCCGCTGATGTTGCTGCAGTTTCTGCTGCTGCGGCTGCTGATATTGCAGATTGTTGACGGGCTGGTTAACTTGCCCGACGGCTGACGGCTGGCCGGCTTGTTGCTGTCCCTGATGCTGTCGGCGTGCCTGCACTGTCGCTCCCTGCTGCAAACGTCCTCCCTGCACTTGCGGTGCTCCGTGCAATAGCTGTGCTCCCTGTGCGCCTTGAACTTGCGGAATCTGCGCCTGAGGCACGGGGCTTCGAGATGGCACGTTCTGCCTTACCGATCCTGCCATCATAGGACCATGCGTGGCCGGCGTGGCCGCCTGATGCGGTAAGTTCTGATGCATCAACGCCGAGTGGCCGATCCTTTGGGTCTGCAGGTTCGGAGGTGCTGCTGTAGCAGGGCTGATCCGCTGAGAGGGTACGTTCATCAGGGGTGCTTGCGGGGCCTGAGCGACCCGCGAATGCGGTAGAGCTTGATTTCCGCCTTGATTTGCCGGAAACGACGCGGCGATCTCCTGAACTCCCGGATTTGCAGGAGCCGGTGCGGTCCGAAAGGGTGACACACGGTTTGAAGGAACGGAGTTACGAGATGGATCCATGGTGCCTGTCTGCTGTCCTTGCGACTTATAAACCCGAACAGGTTTGTCTGTAAGATCTGAGACAACGCTCTGCTCAGTTACGAACGACACTTCTATGGTTTCTACGCACCTTAAGCCTAGGTTAGTATGGTAGCCATCTAAACAGAACTAACTAAGCGTGTGCGCTGTGGGAAGCGAACTGAGCCTGAGCAGGGTTCGAAGATACTCCAGAACTAGAACTGAGGAATGGATGAATCAGGATTCAGGAATCTCACAGATATCCACCGCTGCTGCAACTCGAATCAAGCAGGCGTCCCATATTCCCGTCTGAACATGCTTCCGGAAGTTTCTCGTAAGTGCATCGTTTGCTCGTACCTCAGCCTGCTCTGTGCCTACGGTGTTGAGTCCTAAAGCACTAAGACGTTGGATTCTCAAGTTAATAGCGTTCCTAGCAAGGCGATCATTGTGAGGAAGGAATCTAGGAACTCAGCAGCTAAGGAAAGTCCATGTCCCGACGTCACCAAGTCCTGCATTACTGCTGTAAGTCATTTGAATCTACCGTTGCCCTGGGTGAAAATCTCTCAGGATTCCCTCCCAGAATAATCTGGTTTCAGGGGTTGCCCGATGGTGATGCCTGTTTGTGGTCATCCAGAAGCTCAACACCATGCCCCCTGTCGTAAAGGACAAGCTCGAGGGGCGAAGTGCTGGACGAGTTACATTTGCGAAGACACAATCTGTCACCTGCGGATGGTTTACCGAAGCTGGCGTTGTGACGAGCATAGCCTCGCGATAGACAGGGGTCAAATTTGCGAAACCGAGTTTCGCACACTTGCCTTTCAGGAGCGCGGGAAACTCCTTGGCTTGAACCATGTCAGAACTGGGAAAATCTCGAGGTGCAGTTGTTCCCGATATTCCCTGACACAGATGGTCAATCTCGTCCACACGATTCAGATCACGGAAACTTGCCGACATGATCCGTTTGATTTACTCCGATATGAGATCCCCTTCCGTCAGTGAGAATTCAGGGCGGAATCGGCGAAAGCATTCAGGGATGGCATTGATAGGAGTTTGCCCGTGTAAGGCTGGGGATTAGCCAGTGGAAATATGGAGTCTCTCCATTACGAATCCTCGTCGACTAGGTTTTGATACCTTGCTTCACAATATCCACGATGCATTTAGAGGCGGTTTCAAACCTTGTCTTCCAGTAAAAGGCTTTGAAACCTAGGCCTTGCATTCATTCTAGTCGCGAAGGAATCCAGTTTTATACTAGGTCACTGTCAACCTATTCCGCGCGAAGAAAACTCCTGGTTTTGTCTTCCAGTAGAAGGCGTTGAAACCTAGGCCTTGCGTTCCTTCTAGTCGCCAAGAACTCTAGAATCATACTAAGTTGTCAACCCGTTGTTGCACGCGGAGTATCTTGGTCTCGAGCCATGACGTCAGCTCCTTCTCAAGATAAGTTCATTACCGGACAGCGAGTAGCTCTTAAGGAGCCCGAAAAGGGCCTCCGTTACGCGCCGCGTGGCACCGTGCGATACGTCGGACCCGTGGACGGTCACAAGGGCGAGTGGGTTGGCGTAGAGTGGGACGATCCTTCGCGAGGAAAGCATGACGGAGTGGTAACCGGGAAACGTTACTTCCATTGCGAAATGGTCCCTGCTGGCACGCCAGCCGGATCGTTTGTGCGACCGCAAAAGCTGACTGGAGGGGTCACTCTGCGTGATGCATTGCTGGACCGCTATAACACAAGCGGGGAGGACTATAAAGGTGCATATTCTTTCTCGCATTGAACAACGATGCCCATTTCGCGCATCATTACTCGTTGCTATATTACAGGCCATTATTCAAGGTGGAAATTAATTTGATTTGACGTATTCAGTGTTCCTTTCTCACATAGCATCTGCATATTTTCGTATCTTGCATCGATCCACTCTACAGCGGAGCCCATTTACAGGGCTCTAGGCCGGCGAAGGGCCATGGTGATCGAATTCGTGTCTGCTCCAGCGAATAAGAGTGGAGCAGATAGGGCTGGAGAAGGAATCGATACAGCTGTGCTGGGGAATGATAGAGACGCATCTGGCGGAGTGGGGGGATCTGAGGAAAAAGGGACTCAGGATGAATCAATGGGAACGAATGGAGGCATGTTGGGTGGAAGAGAAGGCAGGGAAGAGGACAAGGGCGAGCCGCCCAAGAGAAACGGGATGTGGCTGTCTCGTCTCCAGGCTGCAAACGTGTCGGAAGTGCCTGTGGGGTCGGTGGGAGCTGTAGGGGAGGTCGCAGCTATTGCATGTGAGTGCTTGCGGCTTTATTTGTTAAGCTCCTAGAAAAATTGTCTTCAGGGTGCAAACGTGTCGGAAGTACCCGTGGGATCGGTCGGTGGGAGCTGCAGGTGAGGTGGCCGCTATCGCATGTGAGTGTGTGTTGCTTGTCCCTTCTGCACGCAGTGGCTGATGCGTGTTTCGAGGCGTACTGCTTGTGGATACTTGCCATTTCCTCCTACCCAGAGTGCATGCGTGATTTGAGAGTTCATAGCATGTGCTGCCTCCATTCTACTCTCTTGATATCCCATTACCTCCTCAGGTCAAATTTGAGAGAGGGCCTCCTTGCATTGCATGTGCTGCGGCCATTCAACCGTCTCAGTGCTCTCTTCTCTTTGCTTCTCGTCTCAGTGCTCTCTTCTCTTTGCTTCTCGCCTCAGTGCTCTCTTCTCTTTGCTTCTCGTCTCAGTGCTCTCTTCTCTTTGCTTCTCTTCTCTTCCTCTGCATCCGTCTCCCCCAGCCCTGACAGAGCTTGACATGTCATACCACCTGCTCAACACCTGGCACGAGGTGCAGAGGGTAGGGGAGGAACTGCCAGGCCTCACAGCCCTGGACATCGGCCATTCCAGACTCTCCTTCCCTTCGTTTGTTGGAGTCTCGCCTCCTCCTCCTCCTGCGCTCTCCGTCTCTCCGTTGGCTGCGCTAAGGAAGCTTGGGCTGAGCAACACACGGGTCACATGGGCCCAGGTTCGTGGGGCACGGGTGAACGTGAAATATCTTTTCTTTTTAGACGCCTCAAAATCCCCCCCGTCTCTCCATTGGCTGGGCTAACAAGCTTGGACTGAGCAACACACGGGTCACATGGGCCCAGGTACGTGGGGCACGGGTGAACGTGAAATATCTTTTCTTTTCAGACGCCTCAAAATCCCCCCCGTCTCTCCATTGGCTGGGCTAACCAAGCTTGGACTGAGCAACACACGGGTCACATCGGCCTAGGCATGAGGAGCACAGCTGGAGGTCTCCTCTTTCTTCTTCCAGCCCCATTTTCCTTCCAAAATTCTTTCCTATATTTCTCCTTCAAATACTTACCAGTTTCCCTCCAAATCTGCTTCAACCGCTCCTTACCCCTGCCCAATCTCCTTGCTTCAACTCCCCATTCAGGTGGAGGAACTTTCACGGCAGCTTCCCCTACTCGAGACCCTGGTTCTGATTAAAAACGAGATCTCAGGACTGCGACCCAGCTCTGGTGCCGATGCCAGTCGTGCTCCTCTGGACTGCCTTCAGGTGAGAAAGCAGGCAACTTCTGAGTTGTCTCAGTAGCCTCCTCGAGACCCTGGTCTCAGGAGTTGTGCCAGTTCCGCCTCTCCTTACAGTGGCCCATCGTCATTGCAGCTTACTGCATTCTCCTTGTCTTAACAGGCTCCTGCCGACCCTTTTCTCTCCAACCCCCTGCTGTCCTCCCCTCTTCTCCACCCTTCTCCTCTTCATCCCCTCCCGTCCCAACCCTCCTCTCCAACCACTCCTGTCGGCCCCAGCGCCCCTCACAGCATCTGACCTACCTAGACCTATCTGACAATCGCATTGCTCACTGGGACGATTTTTGAGGCGCCTCAAAGATCCTCTCACTGCATCTGACCTACCTGGACCTATCGGACAATCGCATTGCTGACTGGGTGCCACTGTTCCCCCTCTCCCTTTTCTTTCTGACCTGCCTTCACTGCAACTTGTGCTCATTAAACCAATTCACTCTCACTCCCCTTCCCCCTCACAGCACCTGACGTACCTGGACCTATCGGACAATCGCATTGCTGACTGGGCCCAAGTCTCCTTCCTCTCAGCCTTACCTTCGTGAGTGCCGCTGCTGCCACTCCTACATCAACACCAGCACTAGCACTATCACCGTCGCCAGCCACAGCACTCCTGTGCACCCATCACAGCACCTTTCTCTCAGCCTTACGCTTGTTGAGTGCTGCTTCTGCCACCTCTGTGTTGTGTTGCTGCTGCCGCTTGTGCTGCTTATACGTCTTCTTGCCACTGCTGCGGCTCATGGCTGAGATTTCGCACCAGCATGTGCCTTGTTATGCGTTCTCCTGTATTCTTTGCTCGTTCTGCTCATCCTGCTGCAAGGTTTTTGTAACCTCCCCTGTTCTCTCGCTCATTCTCCTTTTTGCCCTCATTCTCCTTTTTGTCCTCATTCTCCTTTTTGTCCTCACCTCATTTCGTTCCTCTTGTTCCTCCTTGCTCCGTGAACAGCTTGAAGTGGCTGCTGCTATCAGGAAACCAAATCACCAACATCCCAGGGAATGATGGCTCGCCTGCAAACGCCTCTACCTTTCACAACCTGCACCATCTTTCATTAGGTACGCACTTTTGCGAGCTCTCATAATTCACTTACAAGATCACTGGTAAGACTTCAACCAAAGATGAATTTGATTTATGCGCATTGCCTGAAATTGTACCTGTGCACATGCGTCATACTCCTCCCTCCTTGCCTGATTCCCAACCCAGCTGACAACAACATGTCTCAGTGGTCGTCCGTATATGCCCTGGCCATCACATGCTTTTCAATGTCATGCAACACAGCTTGAGTCAACTTGAACTGCTACCTGTGTGTGCACTCCTCCCTCTTTCACCCCATTCCCAACCCAGCTGACAGCAGCATGTCTCAGTGGTCGTCCGTATATGCCCTGGCCATCTCATGCTTTTCAATGTCATGCAACACAGCTTGAGTCAACTTGAACTGCTACCTGTGTGTGCACTCCTCCCTCTTTCACCCCATTCTCAACCCCAGCTGACAACAACATCTCTCAATGGTCGTCCATAGATGCCCTGGCCATCACATGCCCGAACCTCAAGGTATGGCACATGTTTTTCCCCAACATCACATTCCCGAACCTCAAGTACAATGTCCAATCTCTCTTCTCAAGTTCTACAATACTTTGGATTTCTCCAATCTCAACTTGAAGCTTGCCGACAAAATTTTTATTTTTCAACCTTGCTTCTACCTTCCCTTCAACCTGTCTCTTTCCCTTTCATCTCTCCCCTCTTTATCAACATCCCAATCTATTCTCTCGCCAGGAGCTTGTTCTCTCCCACAAGCCATATGTGCCCAGATTGCATTCAGCCAATCAAACGCCAGCATCAGCCAGTGCTCCAGCCAATGGCAACGTGACGAAGTGCAACGGGACAGAGGGCAGGGGCAACAGCGAATGGGAGCCTGACACCTGGCAGTGACGGTGCTGCTGCTGCTGATGGGGAGGAGGGTGGGAGGGTGGAGAGGTGTGAGTTTGGGCTTGGGGTGACGGAGGAGGGGAGGATGGGAGTGATTGCGAGAATGGGGTCAATTCAGAAGCTCAATTGTGTTCAGGTGAGATTCTCTACATCTCAGATCATGATGGGGTCGATTCAGAATTACAAGGTCAATCCAAAAGCTCGATTCCGCATAGGTCAATTCAAAGCTCAACGTTGCTCAGACGAGTGGAAATCTGTGAAGCTCCCTCAATACCAGGTAGAAGAGAGTGATGAGATGATGGAACTCAGGGAGCGCTTGGATGCAGAAATAGGCACATCTCCCATGCCATCTCAACAATTTTGTGTGTGTTTCCATGCCTGTTTGCATGCCTGCCTGCTTATGCATGTCCCCGTGTGTAATCAACACATCAGATCCTACCCAGGGAGCGCATGGATGCAGAGATATGGTACATCTCCCCACACATCCGATCGCTCCCCCATGCCACATCCGTTCCCCAACTCATCCTCCTCCGGCCACCCAGCAATCCCTGCTCTTCTTGCCAAATTAGGCCCTTGACTTGGTATCAGAGCGACGGAAACTCCTCCCAGGCGTCCATGCCAACGCTTCCACAGCTGCTACTCTTGCTCCTGGTTCTGCCGGTGCTGCTGGTGGTGCTGGCAGTGCTGGCAGCAATGCTGCTGATGTTACTGCCAGCTCCAACCACCCCAGAAGCTCTTCGTTCCTCAGTAAGCCCTCGGACCCCTCCTCTTAGCAGCCCTCCCCCACTCCGTGATCTCCTTCCACTCTCTCTTTTTTCTACCTTCCAAGCCTTTGATGTCTTTTCCATCAACCTCTGAGCCTTTCATAAGTGAATGCTCTCCTTGCCATCACCCCTCCGTTTGCGCTCGTTGTTTTGTTCATTCCAGGCATCACTTTCCGGGTGATTGCTCCTGAATGTGACAGTAGCAGCATGGCAAAGGAAGTTACCAAGAAGCTTCCTCAGTCCACAACTGTAAGTGCTAGCTCGCTAAAAATATAGCATCTGTTCACTCATCGCTCAAGACACTACTGCTGAGTTGAATCGCTGGTGTTTGAAAAGCCTGCTGACAAGAATTGGCTTAACAGGCATGTCACACAAGCTGTCACTGAACCAGCATGTTCGCATCGTGGGTCTGAGCTGTCCAGAATGACATTTTTCTCGACTAAAGGCACATGCTGGTCACAGCATGGTCCAGCATGGACACATGCTGTTCATCCATTCGCCCTCCCTTCGCCTGCACTGTCACATCTGAACTGCATGGTCACAGGTGTCTAAAATGCGACCCCTCATTGCTCGATTGCTCAAGCTGGAGCCCCGCTCCTTCTCCCTCTTCCTCCTGCCAATTCCACCCTCGAAGGCGTTCAGGTAGGGAGGCAGGGAGTTGTGAGAAAGGCTTGAGGGTAGAATTTTAGAGCTTAGACTTACAGGCTTGCGTGATTTACGTCTCTTGGTTACCTGAGAGGGGCTCGGAGGGATGGACTCTAGAGCTTACGATTACAGGCTTGCTGGATTTGCGGGCCTCTCACTTCACTCCTGCTAGAGACGATACCATGCCTTTGGGAGTGCTGGTGCGTTCTGGTACTATAGCTCCCTTGAGTGCTTCTCGAATGGTGGATGCTTTACAAACCAGCATCCTTATTGATGTGCTTGTTGCTTTATGCTGTTCTTTCTCCCACGCGCCCTGCAGCCTCTCCCTTCACTCCTACTGGACGATACGGTGCCTTTGGGGGTGCTGCTGCACTTCTACTACCACAGCGGCTTTGAATGCTTCACAAGCGACCATCCTTGTCGATACCTCGCTGGTGAGTACATGATGTATTCTGGGTATCAGCACACCTATACTTCATTCGCCATTACCTTCAGCGACGTTGATGATGATGTTTCATTGACAAAATTGGAATGTTTTTCTCCTCCCCCTTTTTTAATTCTATTGTACAGGATGTTTTCAGCAGGCAGAATCGCTTTCAGTTCCTCAAGTTTTGGCATGTGAGCAACGGTTACTAAAATTGCAGGAGAAAGTGTGAATTATGCGTTTGCTCAATATTGCTTAATGAACTGGGTAGTAAGTTATGCTGACTATTTATTGTTCGCTTGAGCCAACAAGATAGGGTTTTCATCCTAGCGGGGAGAGGGTACCTGGACCCCTCCGCTAAAAGGGCAGGGGTAGCGCTTTCTGCGCATGGTTTTCGCAAAAGGCTGGGCTAGGGGGGGAGGGTTATCGTTCAGGTTAGGGAGTCGAGCCCTCGATGAGCCACGTGTTTCATCCTACGCTTGCTCGCTCACTGTACATCCCAACCACAGATTCCGCACTGCGCGCGCTTGTCTTTTCTACCGAACCCATCCCACGTTCCGGGTGGCACGACGGGTCACTGTTCCCAAACCACTGTGGCCCTACCTTTCGCGCCAATACTTGCTACAGCTTCACTGAAAACGCACAGAAACTCCGTCAAAGGACTTTCACGTCAAGGTTTGGCACACAGGAAAAGCGAAACACAATACAGGTAAATCCGTTGCGATAGGTTGAATTGATTGCGCATAGAATGAAAGTAGGGATATAAAATAAGAATGCCTAGGTCAGGTTTTCATATGCAAAACCTTGATTTGTGTTATTAAACCCTTGTCGGGTTTAGTATTGGATCAGTGACTATTTTTTTTTTAATGAATATATATATTTCTATAGATATTGTATCTCAGTCTCAAAAACCTGATGTACCTAATTAACATATCCCATGTATTACCTAGACAGAAAGAGGAAAAGAAGGGAAAGCACCTCGTAATAGCACAAGACATAGACCTGAAAAGCTGTAAATCATTTAGCATTAAAAAAAACATATACCATATTAACATATATATTTATTTCTATACTAGATGTCATGTATATATACGACATAGTCACTGATCCAATACTAAACCCGACAAGGGTTTAATAACACAAATCAAGGTTTTGCATATGAAAACCTGACCTAGGCATTCTTATTTTATATCCCTACTTTCATTCTATGCGCAATCAATTCAACCTATCGTAACGGATTTACCTGTATTGTGTTTCACTTTTCCTGTGTGCCAAACCTTGACGTGAAAGTCCTTTGACGGAGTTTCTGTGCGTTTTCAGTGAAGCTGTAACAAGTATTGGCGCGAAAGGTAGGGCCACAGTGGTTTGGAAACAGTCACCCGTCGTGCCACCCGGAACGTGGGATGGGTTCGGTAGAAAAGACAAGCGCGCGCAGTGCGGAATCTGTGGTTGGGATGTACAGTAAGCGAGCAAGCGTAGGATGAAACACGTGGCTCATTGAGGGCTCGTCTCCCTAACCTGAACGATAACCCTCCCCCCCTAGCCCATTGGTTTCTGACATTTTCAGATGGCGTCACCCAAACATCTGCAAACCAGTCCTTCAAAAATGTTGAACTCCTCTCCGCCTCCCGCAGCCTTGGGACTTCAGCCTCCTCAACCTCTGCTTTGCTGCCGCGTCAGCCTGTATGCCAGGACCATTGTCTCCTGGCTTCTGCTTCTCCAGGTTTGGCCTGTGGTAGGTGAGTATGGCTTCTTCCTTTGCTTGTGGTTTATGCGTGAGTTTCTCTCGGTTTTTGTTCCGGTTTTCTTGGTTTTCTTGCAGGTTAGGTCCTCTTCTCCTCCTGTGTTTCGGCTGTTTCTGGATCGGTTCTGCTGGCTTTTCTTGCAAGTATTGCTGGGTTCTTCTCTCATCTCTCTCCTTGGTGGTTTCCACAGGCTTTCCCCGTGGCACATTATCCTTGTAGTGCAATCACTGCAGGTGCCTCCTAGGCCGTCTGCTCTCCTCTTCCTCCTCTCTGCCCGGCTCTGCTGGAGGTTTTTCGCTCTCTGGAAATCCCTGCTTGCGCAACCTGTCGCGCTCCACGTCTACTCCCAACCATGCACTCGTGCTTGGGTGACACGTTTTACCGTGGCTACGCCTCCTCCTGTGTGCTCTCTCCATGCACGCCTCGCGGCTCCCCTTCTCCTCGCTGGATCCTTGTTGGTTACTGTGTGCCTAGGCCATCGCCAAAGCCACGTCCTTTTCTCTCGTGAAATTGGTACATTTTATGCTCCCCCTGAGTCGCGATGCGTCGAGCCATCCCTCTCACCCCTTCCACGTCGGACCGCGCTTCCATGCTACAAATGGACGTACCAGGACATTCCATCCTTACCACCCGGCGCTATGGAACCCCAGCACAACCCAGACGAACTCATGGGAGAGGAGGAGCTCGGTGCCTCCTTCTCGGTCGATTCCTTTTTTGCCGAGGAGGCTGTCACCCCCGCTGTCTCTGCTCCGCCTCCCGCGAAACGCGTCTGCGCTGCTGGCTCTTCCAGTTCTGTGCCTGTGGCTCCCCGGGCGGCCACGGTGGTGCCGCCAGTCCCTCCGGGCATGGCTCCCGCAGCTGGTCCTCCTCGGCTGCGCCTGCTCCTTCAACGTCGACCCAGGAAGCCAATTCTGTGGTCGCCCTCGCCATCACCGGCCGGTATCAGCGCCTACGGCGCAACCGCGAGACTGTGGGAGTCGTCGTCGCGGCCTTGGCTCGTGACACCGATGCACTTGTCGTGCTCCTGTTCCCTGAGGCGCTCGAAGCGCACCGCAGCCGCATCCTTACCCGCGTCCGCAGCATCCTCCGTGGTCGTGATTTCTCTGGTGGCCGCGTCCCTGTCTTCGAGGCCTCCGCAGGCGAGCTGCTGCGCCTTCCCCGTCGCTCGTACTGCCGTCACATGCTCCAGTGGCCGTCGGCTGATGATGCAAACCGCTTCAAGCAACTCCTTCCGATCTCCTACCGCTCTTCCGAGGGGCCGACCGCGGAGATTAAGGTCTACCAGGATCCCGCTCCCGACTTCTCCGCGGCAAAGTCTTGTGGTGAAACTGTTCTGGTGTTGCGCAACGTGCCTGTGGGCTTTGCGGTCCATACGATTCGCTCTCTGCTCGTGTCAAGTGCCTCTCAGGGTGCTAGGTGGCTCGGTGACCTTTTGTTCTTTCATAAGTTGTTTGACCCCTATGAGGAGTCCTTTCTCCCACAGATGCTGGGCATAGCCGTCGCGCCTCCCAACGACCCGCTGTTTGAGGCTATTCCGGCCGTGATCTGGGTGCCTAACGTCCAAGAACCCATCTTGGTGAATATCTCGGCACACGCGTGCGGGGTGTGCTCAAGCAATCACCGGACCCGCGATCACAGCAACTTCGCGGCGGTGCGAAGGAACCGCATCACGAATCCTTTTACCATCACTCTTGGGCAACTCCAAAACGTTAATGGTACTCCCCCCCTTCTCCTTTTTGATTCTAGTGCCTCTACTCGCTTTGCTTTGGGTCGGTCTGCCGTTACGTCTTCGGTTTGCCTCCTTGTGTCGGTTATAATCTTTACTTTCCGTTTCCTGTCTGGTGCTCGGCTTGCCTGTCTTTCGTGCTACGACGTGCACGTTTCTCCCTTAGCCTGGCCCCTCTGGTCTTGAGATTTGCTCATCTCGGTTTTTACCCCCTGACATCTTCCAGCCAGGATCATCGGCCACCATCCTTCAGTGGCCTCCTTCAAGGCAGACCCCGGCACCTTCTTCATCGGAACCGACCTCGAGGTGGAGGTCTGGACCTGCGCTCTGTGTTCCTTCTGCTGTGGCTGGGCACTGGACAGTGCCATGGAGCATATTGCCAGCCCCTCCCCACGTGTCTGCCACCCAGCAGATATCCGGCAGCTCCACTCCCCTGGAAGAGTACGGGGACGTGAAGGTCCACATCTTCAATCAGAATGGCCCTATCGCTGCCTTTCTTGCGTAGCGCGCTGAAGATTACAGCTGTTATGCCCTATCTGCGCGCTGCTTGTACTCAATGTTGTATAATCTAGCCGGACGGACTTTGTGCAACTGTTGGTATTTTGTTTCCTCCCAGGATGGTCCTTCTAATGTTGTGCCTTACCTTGCCCCTTGGATGTGTGCTTCTCGAAGCACAAGGGGCGTCTTATATGGTGAATAATGGATCTCACACTCAGGATACAATGTTTGAACGTCAATGGGCTCACTCTCCCCAGAAGTGAGATGTTTTTCGCTCTGGTTCTCTAGGAACCGCTCTGATATTCTTATCCTAACCGACACTCGCCTTACCACCAATTTCTCCC